ATAAATGATTCCTTTTAGTTCTATAATTAAAAAATAAATAAGATGACTGTTTAAGTAGTATATTTGCTCCATATTTTTCTTATGCTGGATTTACCCTTGGTTACTAAACAATAGATCTTTCAGCTTGAGATTCCTCAGGGGAGAGAGTATATTAGCTTTGTTAAACACGCAAAGAAACTCCTGTGCTGCCTTTTTGTATTAGTAGTAACAAGTATTTTGAAAGGTATATCTGTCTGCTTTTTTAACTAAATTGCTGTAGCTTTTAGCTTTTTATTAGCTGCTACTCTGAGAATGGCTGTCAGCTGAAGAATTTAGCTGTGTACTACAGAATAGTTGTGACTTTATACTCAAAGGCTCAAGAATAATGAGGCTAAATTCTGAAAATAAAGATAATTCTTACAAGGCAAAGTCCTAGGCTATAGAGCTTAACAACAGTTTTCTTTGGATTTGGGGGGTACAAAGATCACATTAAAAGTAGTCCCATTGGTTTGTTGGTGAATATTTAGTTTTACGTATAAAGATCACTGGAAATATTCCTAGATATACCTTTTAAGGTAGTGGCTAAAAAGAGCACACGCATGCTGTGAAGAGAAGGTAGGAGGTATTTCAAAATTTACAAGTTGTCTTTTTTCCTTTTGCATCTTTATTTACAGGAAAACAAAACAGCTGAGTCAGTTCTGATCATGCTTATGGAATAGAAATAGTTCACTTAAATATAGTAGTCACATGTGGAGCTTCCTCCAAAGCTCTAGGGATGGCACTCAAAAGATTTTTGAGTTCTACACTGTTTAAATCAAAGAGACTTAATATTTTCCTCACTATACCAAAGCAAACCCTCTGTGCAAAGACTGCCTAAACATTTTATTGATATTTTTTTAGTTGAGTAATCTAGATTTAGTTTAAATCTTTAAATGCTACACAATTTAAAAGTTTTTACTTTGAAGAAGCTGCAGCTGGGACTGTGTTAGTTGCAGGTTTTTAACGTGTGCCTCAGTTCATCCTACTGATCTGTAACAGAACTTCATCTGATGCAACCTAGTATTGTTTTTTTAACCAGTTTTAAGTGAGCTCTGAGGAAGCAGATTGTTTTCATCATCATTTTGTAGTCAGTTTCAGTTTTTCCTCTGGTGAGATAGCATATTTGATAATTAGAAGTTGTTAATGACAAAAACATGAAGTAAGAGATGTTAACTGTAAGGGTTTTCTAATTGTAGGCATTTCAGATGACAGATTTCGGTTTTGCACCCTGTGTCCTACGTATTTTGCAGCTTTGCAGTTCCCTTGCACTTCAGGGTGCAGAGCCAGCCTTGTGGCTGCCTGGGATGGAGTGGCCCAGTCTTGGGGAGCCTGAGGCTTACCTGCTCCATGCAGGCTCTTCCACGTGCTCCTGCTGCTGGAAGGGGGAAGGGAAGAGTGTCTTTATTTCAATTACTTGACTTACTAATTAGTAACTTAGTCAGCTGAGCTGATGCCCTCTAAGATACTCTTATATTCTGCAGTCTAGCTGCTCATTAGCTACAGCTTGTGCATCTGACTTGTAAATGCCACTTTAAAAATATGAGCAGTCCCTTAATATTTTTGCCTGGCAGTACAGTGTTACTTGTCTGTTATTAGATATTTTAATCCTTAAAAACCTTATCATTGGTACAGAATAGCAGGGTCTGCCTTCTTGAGGTTCTTAGGATAAAGCTGATGCCAGTTTTCAGATATTGTGACATAAAAAAGGTGCAGTCACCCTGTAGCTTTGTGATTTGGGGTACCTGTATTTGGGAACTTTGGACTGTGGATGGGAGCTTCTCATTAGATTAATCTTAGAGCTCAGGTATTAGTGTTTTTTCCCTTGAATTTGCACTGGGTATCTGGCAAGATGAGGAATGTTTTCTAAATGTACTGGTAGGTGGTATACAAGCTTCTATAGTGCCGGAGAGGACACCATAAACACATTTATGTGTAACAGTAAAATGTTTTACCTTTATAACATGTCTTTGACAAATGTGTATAGAATTATACAAACCTGCAGCTGTATTAATGGAACTTTTGCGGCTGCAAAATAACAAAAATCTTGATGTAGATGCTGCAGATGTATGTATTTGTGATAGGTCAGGACCTAAATTTGTCTCCTTATCCTCTATTGCACTTTGATTGCAATTAATGTCACACCTTGATGAATAAAACATGAGTTGTGGAGGGCACCCCTGAAAGTGATAGCGCACAGCAACACAGCAGCGTGAGCTGCAGTAGGTGGCCAAAATAAGTGTTTTCCACAAGCCTAATGGCTTGTCAAAATGTATTGTGTATTTCTTGCCTGAACTGATAAAGTAATAAAAGGTATTATTACCTAGTTCTGACATGATTTGGTTATGCAAGTTTGTGGAGCTTGATAAAACGCTTGAGCTGTGCTTTCCATCTGATCCCATAGAGATGGGTGTTCAATATAATGACTGAGATGTCATGATTATTTTCTCTATTTGTTCCATCTAGCTGAGGGGTTTAAAAATCTGCCCTTGTTACCTGGGCTTGCTCTTTTCTTTTGCAGTCAAAGCAAGCCTGATGTTATTATCAATATTTCAGATTTGATTATGGACAACTCATCCAGAGACTTCCATTAAAATTGTAGAGCACTTTGTGCAGCAAAGCTTTGAGACACTCTAAAGATCTGTTTGTTCTACATTGTCTATTTATACTTGATTGACCTAAAATAGCTAGGAAAAAGGTTGTTCATGCCTGGCTGGAAAATGTCCACCCCTGGTTACAGTGGATAGTAGCACTTTCTTTGAGACATGATTTCAGAAACACAGTACTTATTCATTTTTACCTTATACTGTTTTCAAGCAATAGTCAAATCCTCCAAACATGTCTGGTAACCACAGTGTTTGTGTTAAGCTTCAGTTCGTTGCAGGTCTTCTCAGCTGACAAAGTTGGGCTTTATAAAAGCTGCTAAAATTAGCCAGCCCTTCCCTGCTGATCTCATAATATTGGAATAGGCTCTCATAAATGGTGTGGTTTGAAAATTCAGCATGAATCTAATAGAGCACACTTTGTTAAGGTTATTGGACATGGCGCTTCCAGTAACTGCACCTTTATTTGCTTGTTGAGTTTTCTTTAAATTTCTGTCACTAGTCAGGGTAGGAAAGCATACAATGAAGAATGCAAGAAGATTAAAAAAGTTCTTTTGCCATAAGCTTGTGCTCTCTTTTAAGGAACTAGCACTGGTAAATATTTGCTGGGAACTTAAACAGCATGCAAGGTACTTCACCGGGTCTGGATCAGTTGAATATTTTTAATAACTGGTTATTATTTTAAATACATGTTTTTATTCACAGAATTTCTTAGAGTAGTCTCCCATAGAATAATATTTGGGTTTCTTCTGAAATGTGAGGCAAGCAAATAGCAGAAGGTACCAGATTTGTAGATCTGATACCAGGTATTTTCAGTTTCGTTTCTATGAACCAGCTACCTCTTGCAGGTTGACACCAGGGGTACAGTCAGCATCTAGATACTGTGTTAGAAGAATTAGTCAGTTCTAGTATTCTGGTAGAGACATCTTCACAAAGAAAGCATGGAAATGTACGTACTTACTGGAGTTGAGATTCACATGGCTTATAGTGAAGGAATATGTGCACTCTGCAATACCAAAGTAATAATTAAAAAATAAGTAATTCCTGAGGTGAGCTTCTAACAACTCCTGCCTTCCTTTACAGGGCACAAAACTATGGATAATAATGGAATATTTGGGTGGAGGGTCAGCTTTAGATCTTGTAAGTACATGATTACTTTTGTTTGCATTATAAGTACTAGTGAACCTTATTTCATTGTGCTTTCATATCTCTCAAAGTCTGGTCCCTGGAGATGGGTGATGCTGTATCACTGCTGCTCCAAATTGTGTGAATTTGAAGGGTAGTTCTGTTATGTTGAGTTGATGTTGATTTTTTTCATTTTTGTTGTTTGTGTTCAAGCATTAGGAGGCATCCATTTTTTCTCAGTCAAATGTAAGGCAGGGTTTTTTTAGCTTGAGAAGTACTGTTCTTTAATGTGTGTTGGGGTTTTGGGTTTTGAGTCATCTGTCCATCCCCTGCCCCCTCCTTCCAGTAGAAGATCCATTACAGTTGAATTAAAAAATGGTTCCTTTGAGACCAGATCTCAGGAATGAATGAAGTGTGTGCCCCACAGAGTACAGTTAATTTTAACAAGTTAAAAGGTGTTTGGTTTTCCAATTTTGGGTATTTTCAGTTAAGCATGGAGGTTTTTTACTTAAAAGATGGTGTAGTATTCATGAAGGATGTAGCTGAGACACTGAAGAGCACAGTCCTCTGCATGTGGATGTGGTTTCCCCATAAAGTACAGCTCTGCCTCAGCTCTACAGCTTAGTGACCCACCCTTTCCTGTAAGATAACCCAGTGTTTGTGTGATTCTGAACAAAGAATATTGCATCTTCACTACTACGGAGTGGTATTTGCTACCTGTGGTCCTGTCTGCAAGGGCTGAAGTAGGTGCTTAACTTCACAAATCTATTTAAACTTCTTAATGAAATTACATCACATCAACTCAGCTACAGGAATGCAAAAGCATAGTAATTATGTGTAGTGTGTAGTAGTTTGCAGCTCTGGAACTTAATCTTTTTGAGAAAGGGGCTGTGAGATACTTTTAACACTTAGGAGTAACTGATAGTCTTCTGTGGAGTGTCAGAAATAACGAGACAACTCTTAGTAGTGACAGCTGAAACCACTGACCCTTTAGAAGAATAAAAGTGTTAAGTTTTGCCTCACTTTGCCATGTCATAACCTCAGGATGTTCTCTGTTTCAGTGTTGTTGTGTTGTTTTTCTTTTTAGAGCAGAATCACCCACCTTAATTGCCTCTGTTTTATTTACATAGCTTTCTAGTGTGCACAGTTTACATTTATTCCATGATAGCAACTTTAGCATGTTATGTTCTTGATGCAAATGCAAGCATGGAATAAAATATGCTGGAAGAAGAAGAAGAAAAAAATAATTAAACTAGAAAAGATATCAAGTCAGTAAACAAAGTTATTTTGGAATAAACGGAGTTTCTTAATTTGCCTAATCTAAAATGCATGATTCAGTTTGCTGTCTACTAGGAAACTATGACTTTGTGGAAAGTTAGTTCTAGCTTCTCATGTGCATTACAAGCTGGGGCGAGTGTATGTTAGAACATACACACTGTGTATGTTAGAAAAGTAACAGCATTTTCAATTTATTACCAGTAGAGATGTGAAGGTGATCATTCCAATGGCACCTCTTTTTGACAGAATGTTGGCATACTGAATGGAATATTTTATTCTGTTTGTTCTTTAAAAATATTTCAAGCTTAAGATTTAATTAAATCAATAAGGAGGCAAATATGAGATACAAAACTAACCTTCTTTTAATGTGTCTTTTCTGTATAGCTGCGTGCTGGCCCATTTGATGAGTTCCAGATTGCTACCATGCTGAAGGAAATCTTGAAAGGTCTTGACTACCTACACTCAGAGAAGAAAATTCACAGGGATATAAAAGGTGCATAATATTTTAAATGTTACCTTTTAGAGATTTTAAAATCAGAAGAACAGTAACCTAATTTAGATATTCTGTTCCTTCCCCTTGGCAGCTGCCAATGTGTTGTTATCAGAACAAGGTGATGTTAAACTTGCTGATTTTGGAGTTGCTGGGCAGCTGACAGACACACAAATCAAGAGGAATACCTTTGTTGGAACTCCATTTTGGATGGCCCCTGAAGTTATTCAGCAGTCAGCATATGATTCAAAAGTAAGTGTGAGAATACTTTTTCTTTGGATCTTCAAATCCAACAGGAATGACTTTGGTTTATGTGTGTTCAGCTCTATCGGTATGGAGAAAAAGAATAGATTTCAAATGACAGGGTTTCAGTAGAAGTGTTTGCATGTCACTCTGCTCACATGCAAGACCCATGTAAACTCACTAAGTACATTGATGCTTTCATGTTAAGATAAGAGAAACTCCCTGGATGGTTGGTTGGTTTTGTCATTTCAGTTAAATGTTTCGTATTTACTTCAAACAGTAACAAAGCTCTCACAAGTTAGAATGCCACCAGAATTTACCAGCTTATTTCAAGCCAAGATGATGGTTGAAATTTTACTCTATTCTCAGATTTTTATAAACAGCCTGGGGTATAATTCCTTTAATGGTCTTTCTGAGGACCTGTTTAATGCTGAAGATTTTAGCACAGGTGACTGATCTTGAGAAGGAAAAACTTATCTTTACCCACAGATATGTAGCTGTGGTTGCATTATGGTACCTTGTACATTGCTTTTTCATGGGAGCTGCTGATGGATGACTGATTGGAAAGGAGAGTTTCCCAGTGTAAACGAGCAGTAGAAAAGCCCATATTAACCCCTTGAGGACAAGGGGTAGGTTAGACATTAGGAGGAAATTCTTCATTGTGAAGGTGATGAGACAAAAAAATATCAGCATGCAGCAGTTTTGCTGTCTAAACAAATACTGAATTAGACAGGGAATTTGTGGCAGTTTGTAGTTCATTATATAGAAAAAAAATCAAAGGAAGATAATTTCTGAAGCTTTTTACCAAAAGCATGTGTTTAGGTGCACATTTTAACTTGCTGTCAATGTCACAGCAGTGACAAAGTGTGCAACAAAAGTGATATGATGTAGGTGTCAAAGTTACTAAAGACTGGTTAAGTTAGCCAGGTCTTTAAAAATCACAAGTAAAAAAAATTACAACCCTTCAAGTATTAGAAATAAATCTTTGTGCAATATCTGCTTAGACCAAAATTTAATTTTATTACATAGACGTAGTATATGTGAAGATTTCAGTTATTAAATACTTGGTCATGATTTAATAGTGATTAATTTTGTACTAAAAGTACCTCTTCCCTTTCTCAGGCTGACATCTGGTCTCTGGGGATCACTGCTATTGAACTAGCCAAAGGGGAGCCTCCCAACTCTGACATGCATCCGATGAGAGTTCTCTTCCTCATTCCAAAAAACAATCCTCCAACTTTATTAGGAGAATTCAGTAAACCTTTTAAAGAATTCATTGATGCATGTCTGAATAAGGACCCAACATTTGTGAGTAGATACGTGTGTTTGTGTGTACAGATGTTTTGTTTTTTACTCTCATGCTTGCAAAGCACTTTGCTGTCATGCATTGTAATTGATTGTAATAATTTTAGAGAATCTATTTTCCACTGTAAGTAGTCGTGCTGGTTTTTAATAGCTTTGTCTCCATCCTGGTCTCTTGTTTAAAATACTGAAAGGGGGAGGGGGAATGCTGAGATAAATAATGGTGACAGAGGCAGCTTCCTAAAATGCGCTCAAACCTGAGGCAAATGTCAGAAGAGAAGCTTTAACAGAGGAGGGAACTTAAACCTTTTTCTACAGAAGAACTTTTGCTGTCTCTCTGAATTCTGCTTACAAGGAAATGTTGCATTGGAGGATTTTGATTAGTCATTTTCCTGGGTGTGTACCTTCTAGCATAGAAGGATAAGCAGTATAGTCTGTGTGCAACTTGGTCATATTTTTAGAGTGCTTGTAAATGAGGATTACTGGCTTTTCTTGACTTCCTGTTTCACTAATTTCCTGATAGTATATGAGTTAACTCCAGAAATCAGTTGTCTTACTAAACCTCCCCTATTAGCATTTAAAATAATGAGATGTTGGCATAACATTAAATATGGAAGTGTTTCTTACAGCGCCCTACTGCAAAAGAACTGCTGAAGCACAAGTTCATTATGAAAAATGCCAAGAAGACTTCGTATCTGACAGAACTGATTGATAGGTTTAAGAGGTGGAAAGCAGAGGGACATAGTAGTGATGAAAGTGATTCCGATGGTTCAGATTCGTAAGTTTATTTTCAGTTTAATCTCTTTTGGTCTTTTTTAATGTTACTTTTTTATGTTACTTTTATGTTTGTTGCAGTTTGTGTAATTAACTCCTTTTCTGTCTGTCTTTGTTCCTTATATTTTTTGTTGGTGTCTCTCAAGAAAACCCCTTGTATGAACCTAAAGACTTAATGTCTAAGTCAAGCCATGCTCTCATTATCTCTATAAACTTTCTCTCTCTGAACTCAGTTTCAGTTCTGTTGAAGTGCTGTGCATTTTCTAGTCTAGGGCTAGTGGTTATACCAAAAACAATGAATCACAGTTAGCAATATCGCAGAGCAAGGTTGAGGTGTACGAAGAAGTTTGCACAGTGCTTGTGGAACAGCATACAGTCTGTAAGTCTCTTGCATCTCTGGATATCAGATAACTGGTTTAATGGGCTGCCATGGGAGAAGGTAGACTTTATGGGTAAATAATGTCTTCTGTTTGCTTTGATAGTATTTCAGTTTATTCAGCCTCTGAAGTTTTCTTTTAAAAGTTCAGTTAATGTTTCAAGACACATTTTTTCCTCTTAAGGAATACAGAACTAATCCACATAGATTTATTATGTATTGGGGTTACCCCTGCTTGCTTAGCATTATGTTGTGGCTAGTGTTATGTACTTGGTGTTACTGTTTGCAGGGAGTCCAGCAACAAGGAGAATAACTCTCATCCTGAGTGGAGCTTCACCACGGTTCGGAAGAAGCCAGATGCAAAGAAGCTGCAGAACGGGACGGTATGTAGAGTCTGAAGAGTTCTGCTTTCTGAGGGCTGCTTTTGAAGCCGACTTGAAGAAGATAGTGCTAAAACTTAGTCATTATTCTCTTTTCCTAAGAACTGGCTCTCTTTGTAGTTAAAGAGGTGATGATCATTAGTGGTGTTTCCTATGCCCAGGTCAGTCTTAAATGCAAAAGACACTGCGTGCCAGTAGATCGGTGTCTGTCTGTAGAGGTGGGAATTTAAAGACTTACTAGAGAGGAAAAACTAAACAATTTTTCTGATGATGTGTGATGTTGTTTCAGATGTGTCATCAAGCATCTGTTTATACACCACGTAATGTTTGTTGATGTACTGTGCCTTCATTGCTTTGTAATATATCTCAAGAGCTTTGTTGAATTTAACTGAACTTTGAAAATCACACATGCTGTGCTAAATGCAGTGTATATGTCATTTATCCTTATTTATCAACTTCTAGGATCAGGATCTTGTTAAAACCCTGAGTTGCTTAACTATGATAATCACCCCTGTGTTTGCTGAGGTAAGTCTTGACTTAAATAAACTTGTTGGAATGTGTTACCCAAGTGCCTGATAAGTTTTATAAGGTTTTTCTGTTTTGGTTTGCCACTCAGCTCAAGCAGCAGGACACAAATAATGCCAGCAGAAAGAAAGCAATTGAGGAACTTGAGAAAAGCATCAATATGGCAGAAGCAACGTGTCCAGGGATCACAGATAAGATGGTGAAGAAACTTATGGAGAAATTTCAGAAGTAAGTTAAGGATTTATTATTTTTTTTATACCTTGGGGAAAAAAAAAAAAGGTTTGTTTTTAAAGAAAAATTTAAGTAGCTATGCACAGAAAGGTTATCTTACCCTGAACTTCTTATGTTGGGTAAATTTCAGTAGCTTAATGATAAGTGACAGTGCTTTAAAAGTTTAGCCTTGGTGATTTTATGTAGTAACACTTCTGTTTCAGACTTAAACTAATAATAACTAACTGTATAGAATCATAGAATGGGTAAGGTTGGAAGTGACCTTAAAGATCATCAGGTCCCAACCTCCCTGCTATGAGCAGGGACACCTCCCACCAGACCAGGCTGCACAAGCCTCATCCAACCTGACCTTGAACACCTCCAGGGAGGGGGCATCAACAGCCTCCCTGGGCAACATGTTCCTGTGCCTTCCTACCCTCATGGTGAAGAATTTTTTCCTGATGTCCAACTCTTTCAGTTTAAAACCATTTCCCCTTGTCCTGTCACTGCTCTCTCTGGTGAAGAGCCCCTCCCCAGCTTTCCTGTAGCCCTTCAGGCACTGGAAGGTGCTCTAAGGTCTCCCCAGAGCCTTCTCTTCTCCAGGCTGAACAGCCCCAACTCTCTCAGCCTGTCATCTGTTTAGTCTTCTAGTCCTGCAGTTTTACTGTAGTTGTTACACCTTCCTTTAATTTAGCTTGTCATTTTGTCATAGGCATATTTATAGGGAGTCATGGAGCAGGGGAATCCTTAGCTTATCTTTTTGGGGAGTGTCTTCTTGAGAATGTCACTTCTGTTTTTTTTTTCTTATGAACTGTTGAAACGAAGGCATGTGTGAGTTCAGTGATGCAAAAATAGTTATGTACTGTTTGCCAAGCTGAATCAACATAACTAAAAAATTCTTACTTGCATTTTTATCTCCAGATTCTCTGTTAATGACTCATCCTAAGAAACTTCACATAATTGACTGCTGTTTCGTATGGACCCAGTGAAACCCACCAAAACTACTTCAAGCTTGGCAGTGCTTAGCTCATGAGCTCCTTGTGCCTTTTGGATCTTTGCAACATATTGATGGTGATTGAGGATTTGGAAGAACCTACTCAACTATTTTGTGGCAGTGCACATGGTTTTATATTTTCAGGAAATCATTTTGTAAAGAACAACTTTTAATATTGTAGTTTCACCTGTTTAATCTGATAAATGTTGAGGTGCAGTTTTGCTTTTAGAAAATAACCATTACTTTAGTTCATAGAAAGTGCAAGTATGTTTTGATGCTGTTTTGTTCCTGTACATGGGGATGTACAGGCCTTTTGTATTCATGAGTTAAAACTTTTGTAACTCACTAACAAGCTTCAGAGAAAATAGCTTTTTCACAGGCCTATTCAAAACATGTAATGTAGTGGCAAGGGTATTGCTGTAGCACCTGCTTCAACCAGCATTTAGTTATTGTGCTCTGGACACCAGACCTGCAACAGTATCTTATTATCATTCTAAATTGGTACAGTATTTTTAGGCAGCTCTATGATTAAATACATTTGAGAGCAATATGTCAATAGTTTTGCAGGTGATATGTAGCAACAACAGGGATATCCTGATGTACAGTGTATGTGTTACCTTTTAGAACAGGTTTCAAAGTAGTCATTCAATCTTACATCATCATGGTAGGAAAATTTAAAGCAATACAGTTGAGGGGGTGGGGCTTTTGGCAATAATGGACAAAACCTGAAGTCCAGTTTAACTTAATTTAATGTGTTTTTTTTCCTCTGAGTATAACATGCCTGGGTGGAAGGGAGCCAGAGAAGCCGAGCGTCACGTGAAACATACCTCACAAGCAGGTATAAGTGTAACACCAGCATTCTGTGTGGTGGTGTTGTTTCTCCTGTAAGATATTTATACACATCTTTTTGTTGTTCTGAAATACCTTCAATACAGTACTTCAACCTAATTTGTTTATAATTTTCTGAAAGTGTATTTTAAATATGTATTTACCAGTTAATATGCAAATAACTGAGTTATAGATATTCTTTCACAAAGAGGTAGTACTGTGCAGTACTGAGTGATTTTTTTTCTCTTTTTTCATAAAAAATAGGTAAGACTATAAAGTTGCTTTCAGTTATATATTTATGGTACTGCTAGATGGGTAATGTCTTTTCTTCTGGTTGGGTTTTTTTTTTTTCCCTTTTTCAACCCAGTATGTATATTATGCTGAAGTTTTGAACTGGGATTGTTTTTCAATACTTAGCTGTGGAACTGTTGGTGTAAATTTATTTTTTATAAAGGCTGGGTGTGTTTATTTTATGGTTCAGACCTGCACATTTTGTTTTTGCACAAAAGTCATTTTAAAGAATCTGAAATATATCTGCCAAATATGGAAAAAAGTAATGGTGTGCAAATAAATACTGCATTTTTAGTCAAAATGTTGCCATTACATCATTTTTATATAAAGGACACTTGTGAGAGATGGTGGTTAGATATGCCAAGGACAATTATTTTCAATGGTGCCTACACTGTAAAAAAAAAAAAAAATTACTTTTAACTCCTTGTTTTAATTTTAAAGAAATGTTTCTGTTTAAAACTTTCATCTGCTATATAACTGAAATTCGATTAGAATTTATATCTGAGAAAAAAAGTCTGGAAATAGTTTTTGAAAACAATAATGTTATGGATTAAATAAATATTTTTATAAATGTAAAAGCAGCAAAAGTTGTAAATACAGTTGATCTGAAGCTTTACAAAATAACTGCATCACAGAAACAAATTGTAGTGCTCCTCTAGCTTCTGTAGTTGTTAGTATTGTAAATCTGTTTATAGATGAAGCTTATTTCAATGTTTTGGGGGGTTTTAAATGGTTTAAAAATAAATATTTAAGTTCTGTAAACTTTCATGAGCTTCTTCTGTTGTGCATTTTATTCTGGAGTTCAGTAGGTGTGCAGAGGTGTGGATCTACCTTTTGGAAACCTGTGTTCTGGGTCAGGAAAGGTGCTCTGTGCAGAGAGTTGTGTGGTTGCTTTGGAAAGGTTTGGGGCCCCCCCACCCTGTTCCTGTTGGGAGGGCATCTACCAGCTGCTGCAGCACAGGGAATGCTGAGGGCAGATGGAGAAGCCCCGGGGTTCAGTTTGATTCCTCAAGTGGAGCCTTCAGGATCTGTGTGCTCGGATGAACGGCTGGTGACACCATGACAGAGGGAACCTTGCTGTGGAGGGAAGGCACCAACAGGCCTGAGCCACAGTTACCTCAGCTAATTTCAGCAGGCTCAGCCCATATCTCATTTGAAAGAGGTCTCCTGCATTCCATACAGATTTCTTAGAATTAGAACCGTGTCACTTCCTGTAAGGTGTTCTTTTCATGTGGGAGGCTGAGGGGATTGGTGATGGGAATTCCTCCCAAGTTCAGTAACTGGTGGCTCTTCCCTGCTGCTGCAGGGTCTTCATGCAACTCTAAACCATTCTGGGTAGACAGGGTTAGTGGCCTCAGGGGGATATTGGAGCCTGTCTGTGATATGACTAACAAATTGCCTCCTCTTTTCCTGTGAAATGGGTGGGATGTATACCTACCTCATAGGACAGTGTGGGCAAAAACTCATCCACGTGTGTATAAACCAGCCTTGTTCTCTGCAAGTCCATTCTACTTGGTTTTATTCTACTGTGGATGGCATTTCTGCACCTAAAGCCTCTGTGCATTGTCAGACTACAATAACACTAAAGAATGGATGTCTGTGTTACTGCTTTCCAGAGAACAGTTGTCTTTTTCCCCACCAGGTGTTAGTTATTGATGAAGTCTGTAACTCAAGCAGCAGTATTCTGTTGCTGGCAGATAGCTAATGGAAAGATAAATCAAAATATTCATGCAGAAACCAGGTTCTTGCTTCTTTAGGTCACTGGGCTTCCCACTGTAGCTTGAGAAGAATTGATACTGAACTAGTCTTACCAAAGTAGTCTGAATCTCAGAGAAATTTGTTTGTTCTTGGGTAAATGAGTCCTTTATCAGTGTAACCATTCTTAAATCCTTGGTGTCTGACTCCTCTAGAAGGCTTCTGTTCAATAAGACACCTAGACACCTGTCACTGCATTCCTTGGAATGGCTGTAGCTGAACAGGAAAGTGTGGAGCTGCTTCTTGTGTTTGCACAAAGTTTAACAATTGTTGAAGGCCTGACTTCTATCACACTGTTTTATGACTTAACACTGGAATAAAATTATTTTCCTTCTTTGCAGAGTTTCAGTGGAATTATGTTGGCTCACCTCATTTCACATTTTTCCAATAAAGGAAGTAACACTTGGTGCAGAGATGAGGTAAATGCACTGGTCCCTGTCTTAGTGCTTCTCCAACTGCAGTTCTTTATACTGTGTCCATTTTGCTTCTATCCTAACACCCACACCTCTGCCTCAAAACTTGTCAAACGTTCTGCAGCTGAATTTCAAGATTAGTTTCATCTAAGTCTCATATGAACCCCAGTTATTGCAGTCCAGTAGCTTTATGTTTTGACACTAATGTTGCTTTGCCTCCTCTGCCTTTTCATAGTTCTGGTGTAAGGGCCATTAACATGTTCCAGGTACTGTTGTTGTCTTGTCTTTCAGCAGCAGCAGAATAAATCATTCCATGTCTTCTCTCCAGCCTCATTTTCTTCCCCAGTGAGACGTGGGAATAGATGTTCTTAACCTCTTTTGGGTGAACAGGGCTGAGCAGGGGCTGTGGGGAAGGACTTAATTATTCAAGGGTTATTTCAATTGTTCCTTGACATGTGAGCCATTGTTTACTGAGATTGTTGCTTTATTTTAGTCCCAAGAAAACTAGTTTATACAATTAATTTAGCTTGAATATGTTAATTTCTGTCACTCATGAGTTGCTTTGTTCCTCTGCTCTTGCTGACCATCATGTAGGATGTGTTGAGGCACAGTGCACACACTGTCCCCCAGTGCTCTCTAGTCAATGGAAAAAAATCCAAAAATAGTTCCCAAGTCCTGGTTTTTCCCTCGATGCTGTTTTTCCAGCATAGTCCTGAATGCCAGAGCTGGCAGCTCCTGGAGACTGGGGCAGTGTGACTGTATGTTGATCCCTCTTGGTGGGACTGTTTCTGGGATGTCCCCAAGGTACAGCTGACCTGGGCCAGCTTTTATTGGTATCTCCACATGCTGTCAGGAGGTAACAGCAATTGTACTTTGGCCTTTGTGCTTAAGAGACCCCTTTAAGGGACATTCTCTGATGGTTGTATCTACTGGCTCTATTTGAAACACTGCTGCTTCTTTTCCCCTCTGCCAAATCCTGCATATAGTTTGTCAAGTGCTGTATTGAGTCCTGGTTCTTGCTCTTTCCAAGGTGCAGGGCTTTGGGAAAGGGAAGAAACAAACTCTCTAACCAGAGAAACAACTCTCAAACCAGAAAGTTTATCCCTTTTTTTTTTTTTTTAATAAAACCTGTGCCAAAGCAGCATGTGGGGTCTCTGTAGTTCCCAGCTTCTTCATCACAGGATAACCAGGAACAAAAGCAAACCTTACACTGTGCTCTCTTGTTGATTTAATGCATTTCTTTGGGCAAACAGCCAAGAATGTGGGTGTTTTCAGGGTTCTCACCAAGCCTCTGCAGCCACTGAGACAGTGAAGGCACAGAGAGAGGCAGGAAGCTGCTGCTGAAGAGGGAAACCAGCCTGGCTGTTCCATGGAGCAACATGGGAGCTGGGAGGCACAGAGGGAGGTGGGCAGAGGTCCCTGCTGGGCTGGGATGTAGACTTGGCAGAAGGAAGACACCAAAACTCAGGTGTGAACAACTGATTTTTATTGTCCAGCTACTAAACCACAGGTCACGCACAGTGACCAGGGCCCATAAAGCCCAGTTCTTTTTACATTTAAACCTGTTTTCTGCCTTTGCCCATTCTGGCTGGTCACAGTGGTTTCCTAACTGGATTTACTGGGCTGTCCCTCCCTCTCCTTACAGTCACATCCTACAGGGTCTTCTAGGGTTGTTCTTAAAACACCTCCTTAATGCCACTGTGATCACAGCTGCCTGTTTCTTTCCTAACCCTTTCTGAGATCTTTTTCTAACCCCTGCTGCTTGACTGGGCCTGTTTCAGAGGATCAACGCCCCCCCCCTTACATGCCTCACTCCCCCAGATCTCAGCAGGGCACTGAGATGCTGGGGCTATGGAGCATCTGCCTGAAAATAACAGCTGATGGGCCTAAGAAAAGCTCTTAAACAGGATCATTCCCAGAATCACAGAATTATGGAGGCTGGAAAAGCCCTCTGAGCTCATCAAGTCCAGCCTATGACCCTTGTCCACTTCCCAGTTCTCACTGGGGGATGTTTACAAGCACCACACTGGCGTGTTCCTTGGGGAAAGACAATGCTCTAAACTGGCCACAGAGAAGACAGAGCAGTTTGCTTCTTCCGTGGCTCCAAGCATCACATGAACTACCCTACACATGCAGCCTTGTCCTGAAGGGCAAGGTGCTCCCTACAACATTGGAGAGGCAGGATGAAGGAGATGGGCTCTGTGCTGAAGCATTAGCCCTGTCCATGGAGGCTACAGCTCCCGGAGCAGCCTCCCCTGCCATCCTGCTCCTCTCCAAATGGGCCTCAAACGCTTTTCCTACCACTGTGCTTCTCTGCAGTTGTGAAAAAGCAGATATGTTTTTTTGTTTGGGTTTTGTTGGGGTTTTTTTCTTTCTTTTTTTCTCCCTACCATGGTAAGACTTCAGCAGCTGAGTGCCAAGCATGGCCAGACTTCAGGAAAGCCCAGGCCCCTCTGGCTGGAACAGAACCTCCATGTGTAAGTGGCAGAGATGTGCCAGCTTCCAAGCACGGTGCCAGGGGATGGGTCCTTCTGAACACTGCCCTGCTGCCCATCAGCACATCCTCTAGAGCTAACAGCACGGAAACCACACAAGCCCACCAAAGACCCACAAGCAGTCCCCAGCCCTCTGCAGCCCCAGTCTGTGGCAGCCACCTCTGCTCCCTCCAGCCGGCGTCGGACACCTAGGTGAAGTACCTGGCGTCCCCGTGGGAAGTCCTCTCCTCATCCTCTTCGTCCAGCTGGAGGCTGCCGGAGGAGAGGCGCAGCCGGGCCCGCAGTGCCCGCCCGTGCAGGGAGCAGTACTCGGCTGCCAGGAGGTCGGAGTCCGAGTCGCTGGACTCGGTGCTGCTGCCCACGTAGCGCTCGGCCGGTCGCCGCGACACGTGCCAGAAGCCCCCTGCCCTCCTGCTGCTGAGCGCCGGGCACGGGCCCAGCGGCCGGAACTCGGAGCCGAAGGGGAAGCGAATGGCTTTCATGTCCGACTGGCTCCAGGAGCGCTTGGGAGGCTGCTCCTGCAGGCTGTGCCCCAAGGAGCAAGGCAGAGCCCTGCGCTGCCCTGCCAGGGCCAGGCCCGTGCCCTCGCCAGGCAGCTCCCCCATCCAAGTCCCACTCGGGCTCCGGCTGGGGGGTTTTGCAGCCC